CGTGCATTATTTTGCACTAATGTAATTCCTTTCTATATAAAGGAAGGTATATGTAACATAATAAGCAAGTCGGAAATAAACAAAGCTTCCTTAAAAAAAACACTCTCTCAAATATTTAAATACTTAATAGATAATGGAACAACCTTCAGATATCATGGATAAGCAAGATGCAAAGGTATATTGTTCAAAAAATATGCAGAACTAATTTCATATATTCCTGAATATCATATATATGATTGAATAAATTTATATTAGTTATTATGTGTTAGAATTATTTGGATCATGATTTCTAGTTTATTAGCTCACTGGAAACATGGAGAAAACTTCTATACTATGTCATCCTAATGTTGAAACCGGTAGGCGAGAAAAGTCGTTTAGGAGAGTAAACAAAGTTGAGGCGCTGATAAGAAGGAAGTATCCGCTAAAGTACGATGCTAGTAGTGACAGGAGAACATGATAAACAGATAATCTAGTTCATAATGATCTAATTGAAAATAAAAAAACCTGCATAAACAACGAACATGACTTGTAACATGCATGATGAAATGATAAAAAACTATGAAACTCTAATCTTATATATACTTAAAGATATAGAAATAATTGAATTAAAAAGAATAATATGGAAAAAAATATTTAATAATAACGGATTAGAAGATATATTAAACCAACAATGGTATGAAATAGACCTACATGATTTAGACCTCGAAAGAATAGAATGGTATGATTTAAAAATAAATTCAGACTAAAATGAACTACGAATATTTACAATATTGGACGGAATCTATGGAATATATAAAACTATTAGAACAATTAATAGAGGAAAATTTATATATGTACCTAAGAACCCAAGATATGTTATATCTAGAATATATCATAAATAATATTAAAGAGATATCAAGATTAAGACCCTTGAAAAAAGAATATTATAATAAAAACTTTGAGATAAATTCCTCACCTACCACACTACCAAAAATATGAATTCCTCAACTACCAATTCCGCACACCCGAAAAATGGTATCAAGTGTACACACATGCAAAGAGATTTATTTATGTCAATAGCCATGATATGTAAGGCTCCAACTTCGTTCATGTACCGTATCTGTGTGGTACCCAACTCTCCAAATAATTAAATATGTATATGCACTGGTGTGGTGCCCGATCCTATAAATGATATAACTTATGTACCAACACCGGCGTTGTATCTGATTCACTCATGGATTTCAAACATTCAATTTTATACTATGATCAAATCAAACATGTCTGCAGATCAATCAACAAACATTGAGTTCAAGTGTATAAATGAATCTAATTCAAGTCTAACTCTAATTAACCATAACCTACCTCAATTGAAGGTTTGATTCATTCCGAATGCAACTAGCCCTTTCTTGAAGCTTTGATTCATTCACAGTGTAAAATAAATAAAATCACGTACTCAATTATTCTTTTAATAATTCCAGGCCTTAAGGGAAAAACAACCACTAATTTTATCTTGTTCATAGCCTAATTCCCAAGTTAGAATTTTTCACGTTAGAGGGAAGAATTTACATGTTAGAACGTGAAATTTAACAACCTAGAATTATTTCAACATCCATTTAGATCTCTGCTGGTGTGAGGCCTCTTTGTGAGACCATTTTCTATAGCGTTCTGCCACTGTACCGGAGTCCTGTTACTATGAGATGAGACAATGATATTTAGAGCTTTTCAAAACTTTCCCATTTCATAGCATACGTCAAATTTTTGGACCATGAAGAAATACCCCACCACAAAATTTCTACAATCAAAGTTCTACTAATTATTTATTTTATATTTCGAAAGTTTCTACATGATCAGTAATCCTTTCCACTAACATAATCTAAGATCAAATTCATCATAGGCTTATTACATTCTAATGATAACACCATGTCTGGCCAATTTTTAGGAATTTGAGTCATCTTGGGATAGTTTGTTTTCACAAGTCTCCAGATGTTTGTGTTTACTTTAAAAATAAGATTGGTGTACGTCATCCTCTTCCCATTCCTGATGATGTTTCTCCTCTTCCATAGATACATTAGAATAGTTGTACTAATAGGTCTCTGTTTTGGACTAAAAGTGGTTGTCCACCACTGAGTTATGACACGTGAAAAGTTGAAGTCCATCTATATGAATTCATGGAATTTAGAAAACAACCTGCATAACTTTGCAGCAGTGGGGGAGGTTAGAAACAAATGAGACATAGTCTCTTGTTTAGGATTCCGACAGCACCGACACTAAGAAGCTATATTGATTCCCATTGTCTGAATAGCCTTATCAACCAGAATTCTAAACTACAAGTATGAAAGACATCTTGAAAGCTACTTTCTTGTTCAACGTGAACTTGAAAATATCTTCCATTTCTTCTCTTTGTCTTAACATATTTCAAGAACTCCTTACTGAGAATTTTTCATTTAACTCTAAGCATCAATTTTACTTGATCTAGTTCATTGTTATCAACTGGGTGAGGAATATATTTTATCACATGTTCGACATACTCCTCAGGGAGACATTGCTCAGACTTTGAATATTCCATCCTTGTGCATCAACAAACCTGCTAACCTCAATCTCCTCCTCAACATCATTTATAAGAATATGATATAAAGATCCCAAATCATTCCAGTTATCATACCAAAAGCTGGAATTTCCCTGTCCTATTTGCCACCAAATTTGATGCTCCGCCAAATTTCTAACGAACATCATTTCTTCTAGATTGTGGAGGCATCTCTACAATTTGCAATTACTGGGTGCAATTTTTCGCAGTATTTGTTGACCATAAAAGAACCTCAAATAGAAGGTCTACTTCTTACATTCATGCATTTGAAACATCAAAAAAGTGATATGAACCCTACTCCACCTTCCTCCTTTGGCAAACACATGTTTTTCCAGATCACTAGTATATGTTTTCTTTGTATCTGTATTTCTCCGAAAGTACCAAGAAAACATCTTATGTAAATGTCTTATACTCCTATAAGAGGGTTAAAAGCTAATAACATATAAGTAGACATGCTTTAGAGAACATGTTTAATCAGCACAAGCGTCCCACCAAAAGATAATTCTTTCCTTACAATAACTGGATCTTGTTACCTACTTTCTTGATCATATTATAATAGTAGCATATTTTATTCCTACCATAGAGATAAGGCAATCAAGATAAGTACAAGGAAATGAGCATTGTTTATTTTGTGTTAGAGACTTTATGCTAGCCACTAATCTTGAGGATACTTTTTTATGGACATAAAAAACACTCTTCTCCAGATTAATCAACGAGTTTCATAGATTTCTTGTCTGTAGAGAAAAATAACATGATATCATCTGCATATGCAAGATGGTTGATAGTTGTACTCCATTTAGGAACCCCAAACCCCTTGAAGTCACCTAGTTCATTTAAGGTATTCAACCCTCTTGAAAGGACCTCTGCTGCAATAATAAATAGGATTGTTGAAAGAGGATCTCCTTGTTTTATTCCCCTCATAAACTTTTTTAAAAAAGCATTGACCTTGACCATATAACAAGATTTTGTACTAGTTATCTGCTAGTAATCTGTACACCATGTCAATTATCACTTCACAGAAACCAAATTTTCTAAAAACCTTTGTAATGGAAAGCCAAGATAGTCTGTCATAGGCCTTGGTCATATCAAGTTTTATTACTAAGTTTGTGGATTTGGTTCTTATTTTGATAATATCCCGTATAATTTCCTGGATCAATAATACATTTTCCACAATACTCTTCCTCTTCACAAAGCCAAATTGATTTTTAGAGATCAACAGGGGATGTAATGTCACTAACCTAGTGATTTTTTTGGGTAGACACCAAACTTGTATGAGTTACATATCTTGGTAAAGTTGCTCCTCCAAAGAAATGTTGCACCACTGCTATAACATACCCTTAAAAAAGTTTCTTCTTGTATTATCATATTCTTCTTCCCAAAACATAGTGGGTTCTCCATGACCATAAGCTATTTCTTTGATGGGAATTTGATTTTTGTTTTCAATTGTTTTTTGGTTTAAGGATTTCAAAAAATTTAATGGGGTTATTGGTGGTGAGCGGCCATGAAACTTCATGGTGACGGTGGTGATAGATTTTTCCTGGCAGCGAGGACAAAAAATTTGATGATGGCTCTTTTTAATTTGAGTTTTGGCTAAAAAAAGGTATGCCACTGCCGCCAGTAGTTTCACAATGCTGATTTTTTTTAATTAAAAAATGTTTATCGACAAGATTAAAATGATAAAACATATTTCTATTTTATTAGGAATATCTTTTAGTTATCAAAATGAAAATATGCTATGATATTATATATATATGACATATATTATCAGTGCTATTTTATTTTAATTGTTACAATGAGATTAGGAAGGAAAAATGTCATTTTCTACTTATTTAGTAGTTAAAGTGAACTTAAAAGAAAAGAAAAAAATTGGGTTCTTTAATAGTAATATTTTTATTAGAATTTTTTTTTAAAAAAGAAATAATATATTTATTTGAAAAAATATATTTTTGACCCATTAAATAACAAAACGACATATTAAAACCAAACTATTGATGCGAATGCATTTTTAGACCAAATCATTAACTTTTGTTCAATTTCACCTAGTCTAAGAACATTTTTGACTGTTTCCGTTTAAAATATAAACACTGATACTGAGAAGTTTCAACAAAAAACAAAATGCACACTCGTTTTTTTGTAATTTAAATGTAGACTAGATTAACCAGATTTATCTTTACAAGGATAACTTTCCTCCTACAATAAATTAAACAAGTGGTGAACTTCAATTTTCCAAGATATTAAAGAAGAAATAGATTTAGCATGTACGCATAACATAAACCAATCCAAGAATCAGGAAATTCTTCAAACTATACAAGCAAATTTCCCATCCTCAAAGGTGTGTGCATATATATATATATATATATATATATTATAAGGCCACTAATTCAACAACATGCTTAGCTTTACCCCCCTTCCAAATCGAGGTCCCCCCCCCCGAAGGAAATGGCCTTAATGCGCGACACTTTGTACTGGAATGTATCTGTATCTCCTCCTAGGTCCTTTACAACTGTGGATCTCATTTACATGACAAAAGAAGTAAATTGTTCCGGCAGAAGTGAGCAATCAGTTCAAAAGATAGGAGGAGGAGGATCATGAATTTGGCCTAGTCATAATCATAACAATTCTTTTTGGTCCTTCCTTTTTCTATACGTGCTTTTCGAACTGCTTCTTGGATTTGTCTCTCATGTTCCTTTAACATGTCTTCCATACTTCCCCCTGGTGGCACTAGTGGTCCAGAGCAAAGAAGTCTACTTTTCTTTGGCACATAAACCTGTAACATCAAAAAGGGATAGGTAAAACGTTTCAATGTTAAATTAACACCTGCAAATTGGAAAGTAAAGATTAATTGCAGTACACACCGTTGAATCCTCATAAGATGACCCGTCATCCCTCTTTGAATGAACACTTGAAAAGTCTCCTACAGCTCGAGACGTGTGAGAACCCTGTCTTAGAAACTCTCCACCGTGTTGGGATGTACATGAATCCTCTTTGACTTTGCGAGAATATCCAGCTGCATTAGGATGGATCACTGAAGTTGAATGAATAAATCCGTTCCTATTTTTCACTCTTGGTGGCTCAATAGGGAATCCACTTCCACTTTCTTCTAGAGGATTATATTTAACACTGATGCTGATATTTGATTGTCCCTGCAATGTGGAAATCATTCATTTTCAATGACAGTGAACAGAACAGCCTTAATTCAATTTCTTTCGGAAAATAGAAGAAGATCAACCTGCCCAGCAATGGATTCTGTAGTACTTTCTCCCTTTGATTGCCTTGACGACTTGCTCAATGATTCATCTCCACATCCTTTAACACTCTCAGCTTTCCGCCTGGGATTAACAAAATTCTAAATTGTGAGACTACGCAAAAGTGAAAAAGTACAGACCAAATTAATCATGAACGTAAGAAAAGTACAATACAATAGTACAGGTTATTGGTAGCTTACTAAGATCGTCCATAGTCACGATTTTATTTACAGATACTTCAGTAGTGAAGTTTGTTACGTTTACTCATAAAAGATAAAATACTAAAGGGCTGATTATGGCATGTGTGTTTTGGTGCAAATTTGACTTCTTTGCTTACTTTTTGTTAAGTAGTTCCCGGAAGAAGTGTGATATTAATTTTACATGTTTTTCTAGTTTAAAATTTACAAGTTAGGTTTTTTTTGTTATTATGTTCATAAAAGTAGTATTCAAATCTCATGTTATTTGGGAGAGGGTGGTGATTTTTCCCTCGTATATAAGGGTGGATTTTGTTCTTTTTGACAACAACAATGTTATAAATATTATTGAGAGTTATTTTCTTTACACCTTTGTGTAATAGTTACTTAGGTTTCATCATTAAACCTTACAAAAAAGATTTATTTCAAGAGGTAAGATTACTTTTATGCTTGATATCTATTGTTTTTTTTTATGACAAGGGAAACCCGCAACCGCTACCCTTTGGGTGCGCACAGGGTAAAACCCCCGCTCTTATGCAATAGAGAGCAAACCACATAGGAAAGGTAACCCGCACTAGGCAAGCCCGGTGCGACGAGCTCGACCTTTCTTTTTCTTAAAAATGAATAGATATCTTTACTTGTAAGTAAAGACTTAGATGTCTCGTATTTTCTCGAAAAAGTGATTCTATTGATGGGATTTGGTATGAGATCGATGATCTTGATGAGATTGATATTCCAATCTTTCTTCTTAGAACGTATTGATTTGACCCCATAAGCAGGGCCAAGCATGTTGCTGCCAGAAGCAAAACCCCGTATAGAATCTCCTAATTGTTCTAGAGCTACTAGAAAGGGATTCTTTAACTAGAAAGAATTTGGTTCAGATGGAGGATACCCATCCAGAAGTTTTTGCAACTCAATCATAGATGATGGAATCATCAAAGATTTGACCTTTTCGAACTCTCTCTCTAACTCACTAGAGGCACGGGAAACAAAGAGAAGATGTTTGCTTCAAAGAATGCTTTCAAGCTAGGAATTTAAGCACGGATAGCTTTATTTGACAATTAGCTGGAAGTCAGGTATGCCTATTCAACATAAACTAAGGCGCCGGGTAGATCGTAGATTGTCGGGTATGAATTAGATTCTAAGTCGGAAAATGCCCATGAATAGGGTCTTATTACAGAATCCCCAGAAGGCAAACCCCTTGCTTTCTCTGGCAAGGGGTTTCGAACTTGAGACCTCCAACATGAAAGTCCCAAGCCCAAACCACTGGGCCACCCTCGGGTTGATATCTATTGTTCTTGTTCGAATTAATTGGAGAATGTTACAGTAGTGCAACTTGAACTCAAACTGATATTGAAAGAAGGAAACAAATGCAGAGACCATAACATAGAAAAATAATGTAGCAAATGGAATGATATGCAGATTTTAGATACGAGGAACAGGTTGTGAAGAGCTACAGATTTTAGATACGAGGAACAGGTTGTGAAGAGCTAAAACTAGATACCTTCTTGCTTCCTCTTCTCGAATCTTAGCATCATATTCCTTGCTTGGAGGATATTTGGGTAAACTAGATGGATCACAAGGTAAGGGCTTTGTACTGAAGAACTGAAAGTAAAAAATAAAACCAAAGAAGATATAAAGCAGAGTAAGCACTTACAAAAATATATAGAATACTTTAGGTAATTTGTGAAAGACAATCTTGGTATGCCAAATAAGATAAAACAATTATGTCTAGAAAAGGAAAAAAAAACACCTTAAATCATATCAATGTCGGCAGGCTGCAAAACGTCAATGCAGAATAGGTTAACAAACAGACATTAATCTGCTTGGACCATTTGAGTTCATGAAATATTCAAATGATCATGTAGAGAAAAACCTCCTAGTAATGCACAACCAGATTAATTAAAAAAGAAACAACAAGGTTGATTCTAAAGCAAATATGATCATTAAGTAAATATTTCTGAATGTTCACAGGATAGAAGAGAATGCAATTTCCAGCGATTAATAATGTAATAATACTTGCTTAAAAATGCTTCCAATCATGATACAAGGAATATGAATGACCATTACAAGCAAAGGAAATAAACACTCTTAGTTACCTGATAACCACTGTAGATGGTATTTGTCACTCAAATGGAAAAGAAACTAAAGAGGTGTTGCTATTCAAGGAACAGGGTTTCTTACCTCACTGTTGAGTGCAGAATAAGCAGTACCACGCCTTTCTGGTTCTATTGAAAGTAGGATGTCAACAAGGGCCAAAGCTGAAGGCGGAAAGTCCTTGAATGTATCAGTGACACATCGCTTGTATGGGTGTTGTGGCTTAAAGCTAGTAGCATGAGGTAGTTTTGATTTCTTCCAGTATTCTTCAGAAGGTGAACCACAAAGTTTGAAAATCTTATGCATTTGCTCCACCTGCAAAATTGTTTCAGGAACCAACAATGAATTGTGAACTCGGAAAAGTCAACATGCATGAAACTGAAACAAATGTATAGAATTAGAATTTACTGTGTCAAAAGCATCAAACAAATTTAAAGTGGAAATTAGAGAATAGCTTTAAACTCTTTGGGTAATGGAATAATTCTAAAGCGACACTTCCAAAGAGATCAGACATGTGTTAGGAGGAGATAATCAATCATAAGTGACTAAAGTTTAGATTGAAGAGTGAATTGAAAGTACCTCTGTTCTTCCAGGCATGATAGGCTTTCCAGCAGATAATTCAGCGAGGATGCAGCCAGCACTCCACATATCTATGGCCACTCCATATTCCGTTGTACCAAGCAAAAGCTCAGGAGCTCTATACCATAGAGTTACAACACGACTTGTTAATGGCTGTGTTTGGTTGGGCTCAAAGGTTGTAGCCAAGCCAAAGTCTCCAATCTTTAGAACACCATTATCATCAATGAGAAGGTTTGAACCCTTAATGTCTCGATGAAGTACACCCCGGCTATGACAGTGTTCAAGTCCACGAAGCAATTGTTGCATATAACATTTAATCTGTAAACCATCATGTAAAAATTTGGAGAACATCGAAATATATTGTGTAGATTAAAATGCAGCTACCGGAGGGTGGTGGTAAAATAAGTTTAATTTACACATGATTTTGTTCGTCTTTGGGCCTTATTTTCTTGCTTTCACTTAGTCTCAGTATTCTCTAGGTTCAGTCCATGAAGGAGTCATTAAACAAGTTCAAAGATTTATATTCTGGGAGGATTTTCTGCTTTTGAATCTAGTTAGGACTTGGGTGGGCTAATTATGAATATCCCAGGGTTTTTCAGACAAGAAGAGAAAGATGTACCTGTGCTTCAGTAAACTTAACCCGAGGTGCTGCTGCAAGTCCAGCAAGATCGTGTTCCATGTATTCAAATACAAGATATAAGCTGCCTGATATTCTAGATGTGACCAAAGCCTCAAGTTTCATAACATTTGGGTGGTCCAATTTACGCAAAATAGATATTTCCTTTGCCATAAAGCGAACACTCTCTGGATCCATATTGACAAATCTCACTTTCTTCATTGCAACAATTTTATTGGTTTTAAGGTCACGGGCCTTGTACACACTACTGTATGTTCCTTGACCAATCTGCAAAAAATTTAAACATTTATCAACTTAATTGCCGGAATGTATGAAAATTCAAACTCTTTATAATTGTCCAAAGATCTCTGAAAAACTAAATGACATTATAAATTTGGCTGGACATAAATTTATGTTTCCACAGTGCTTCCAACAAGTACAAGGTAATCAAGCACTCTCACCATATGTTAAGGAAGTTCATATTTGGAACTCATGAAAAAATAATACTAGTACTCTTGAAAATCGTTTTATTTATAATTAGAATTGACAATTCATTGGGGGAATGTTAGTAGCTCAGTTGGTTGACGACCTCCTAAATATTCACCTTCTTGGTGAGGTTCGATTTCCCACCTTGTACTTCCATTCCCCTGTCCCCAATTCTTCTTATTAAAAAAAAAATATCCATTTTCCAGAGGTACTCCTAAGTAACCCAAGAAAAAGAAGAAAAACTCTAATGGATCATAAATAAAGTAACTTTTTAAAAATAGCCACTTTGGATGGAAAATGATTCAGCTACTTGTGTCAAAAAACAAAATGATCTCTATGATAGAAGCAAATTCAATACCCTGAGTAGAGTATGAAATTTCCAGAAATAAGAGGAACAAGGATCCGTAAAGTACAAGATGCAGATATCAAAGTTGAGCAAATTATGGGCTGATATGTAGAACAAAATGCATGAATAATTCATAAATAAAACGTGAGCAGAGAAAAGGTGTAGAACTGACTTTATTTAATTTTTCAAATGAGTCTGCACTTCGAGGAAGCCACCCTTGAATAGCCTCAGCTGCGACAGAAGTAAGCCACGATGGCCATCCTGCAGCTCCGAGTTCACCCTTTGCAGCATTAGGTATGCTTACAACTCTAGACATTGATTGTTGCACTCCAAAATCAACAGTGGAGCGCCTCTTGTGATGGCCTTCCTTAGGCCTCTCGATAATTCTTGTTTTTCCATCATCCTCAACTTTTGTTGCAAGGACAGAAATAAGAGCAGATTCTGATGTCCGCTTTGATTTAGAATTCATAGGTATTATTTCAATCTTAGGATTAACTAAGTCTACTTTAATCTCCTCTCTATGCAAGGGAGCAACCATATGTACAGAAGATTTATCAACTTCTTTTTGTTCGAAAACATATTCATCTTCGGAAGAACCCTTTGAGCAAATGCAGCCCATTCTTTTGTAACCAATATGTTGTGTCACTCAAGACACATTCGAGACCCGCATAATAAACCTGCACCAACAACAAAATTCACTGGAAAAATAAATATATGTATATTGCAATTAAATAAACTTGTCATTTTCTAGTTTCTTACCAATCAATGCAGGCCTCCAAATCCTCTCAAGAACCCAAAATACGAGATTGAAATTGAAAACCAATTAATGTCCAGGATCTCAGGAACGAGCAGGAATTATATATATGATTTCTTCAATAAATATCACCCCATAATTAATTAATTAATTTATGTCTTGTTACATAGCAATTTTGCATTCAAATAAAAATGTTAAGGCAACCCCAAAAAGTCAAAATCCCAGACCAGAAAAATCCAGCATTACAACCAAACATAAGAAATAAAGATTCCAGCATATAAAAGGGAACAATAGGTTGGTGCACCAAAAACCAATTCTATGCTTTTTGTTTAAAGGATTGATGCAGCAACTCTGGTCAAGGATGATACCCTAATGGGGGAATGGAACAAAACTTACTTTGATTTTTTCCAGAAATATTTCAACTAATTACCCTTTTTTTTTTAATTAAAAAAATACATTTTCTTTTACTTCTTTATTTTCAGAAAAAAGAAAAAAAAAAGAAAAAAGATTTTTACCCATATATTTCAGGATATTGATGAGAAATCAGCGAAAAACACGAACAACCAGTTACTATTATTTTTTCCATGAAAGACATAAAGATAGAGGGGAATAGTAGTATACCTTGTGCCTTTATCTTTGGTTTGGTGTGTCTGAATTTGAGCATTGTTTGATGTACAAATCTCCATTCTCATTTTCTGCAAGTAGCAAAAAAATGTCTAATTCAACTCTGACGTGCACTGCAGTAACCCAAATCTCTTTCTGATTTGCCACGTGGAACTCATCAAAGTGGTGGGACCCAAAAGGAGAAACTTTTCTACTACTATCATTTCGCTACCTCAAACCATCACATCCTTTCCGTACAACAAGAATGTTTTACATGAAAAATCATTTTTGTCACGATTTACTTTTCACGTATTAAAATAATGATTAAATTGGGTATTAATGATGGCGTATGAAGAATTTTTCGTAAGCGAAGTCACCCTTTTAAAATGAGAATATATATATACATAAAATATTTATTCTTACAAAGCACCAAATAATTACTAATAAATAAAGAAGGCCAAAGAAAAAAACACATAAAAAATGTGGTTGTGAGGTTTCAACCCAAAGAAAAAAACACAAAAAAATGAAAAAATGAGGCTGTGGGGTTTGAAACCGAAACATTCACAAAAGTATGAAAAAATTAGGTTGTGGATGTTTGAAACTGAAACATTCACTATGGTTCTTCAGCACAAAACCATCTAGGCTACATGCATTCTCTATTAAAGGAGTGTCACTTATAATATATAATTGTTATATCCGCTTTTGTTTCTTAATTGTATATACCTATTTAGTAATTTTTTCCGACGAAGCAGTGTCAAGTGATACCCCTTCCACCTTCCTAAATCTGCTCCTGTGTCAATAGGGTCATTTGTAGATATTCAAATTTTGTGGGACTCTACAAAATTTGTTTGATTTAGCTTATATCTTTATAAAGAATATTATATTCCCTCAAAGAGGCATCTCGAATATTCTATAAATTCATGGAATATTCACACAGATCAATGGAGATCAAATGAATTTCAAGGAGATCCATATCATCCTAGTTCAAGAAGTACGTCACTATTACCCTCGAATTAGAGAGAAATCTTAAGAGAGAATAATCGAGGGATAAGTCGAATTGTACGCATATTATTTTATCAATAAAAATTCTTGTTTCTTCATAGTTTATTTATGCTTGATGTGTTGTCCATATATTTAAAAAATTGCAGTCAAATTCTGGCATAATTAGTCAATCTCTACCTCCCATCTCAACTTTCAAAACATCACAGAATGTTGAAATGACTTCAGAGAAGACCAACTCTCAATCAACTGCCTCTAAGGTTGCCGACTCCAAGTTCTCCATTGAAGTATAAAGAGTCCTTGGTGTTATCTTTGGAGGTTTCAAATGTGTTATGAAGAGCAAGGCGACTCTTCTAGGACAACAAACACTTCAATGGTCCTTCACATCAAATTCTATTCTTGGGTTTTCAACTCCAGAAAGATCAAGGTCCTCCACAAATGCTTCAAAAGAAGGAAGCAGTGTTGCTGACAAGATCAAACAAACCTCAGCTCTACTTAACATCTTTGGTTTCAAGAACTTTACCACGAAGAAGAACTATGATTCAATTAGTGAATCATCTCCACATGCATCACGTAATATGAGTTTGTTGAAGATCAACTTGTGTGACAGTCTATGTTACTCTTCTAAGTCCCTAATGATCATGAAAACAATAGTGACTGGTGCTTCATCCATGGAGGAGAAATTTGCAAATCTGGCGAAGCTGGTTGAATATAACATCCCGGAATCAAGAAACCTAGAAAAGGGAGGCAAGTGGGAGGTCACCAGCCCTCCACTGATCCATGGCACCCTTTATGGATCCCTTCACGGGCCGTGAAGGGCACCCCAACTCGTGGTGGTGCCCGTGGTGAGTGGACAGTGTCCTCCCTAAGGCCAAGCTCCTCTCACGAGCACCCAGAAGGCTCGTGGAAAGACAAATGGGTCGTGGTGGAGACCGTGAAGGGAGGCAGAATCCCCCAAAGCTACTGGTCTAGGGTCACGACTGCCCAGACGACTCGTGGACCTTGAAACGGTTCGTGTGGCTCTCCATCTGGAGGTTCGTGTCAGTTGTAAATCAGGATCAACTAGGTCTTTTCCTATTTATTTTATTATGATACTATGTTGTTTTATCAATACCTAGGACCCCTATATAAGTAATTTTAACCCCAAATTCAACCCATTCAAGTCATTCTCTCAAAAATTCAAAGGAAGACCAAGTCTTTCTCTCCCAAATATTTCTCTCTCTAGAAAACATGAAGAAGAGTTCAACCTAGGGTTCCAAGGCATTTCTCCAATTCCATCATTGAAGGTAAGCTTTTGGCATTGAGGTATGATAATTTTCATCCATGGATTCCTTCTATTCATGGACTTCCCAAATTCTCTTATTTTCAAAGTTAGAAATCTCCAATTGCGTTAGGGTTTTTCTTTTGTGTTGTGGGTTCTCTTAATTATTGATTTAATTGATTGAATTATGATCTTATATGCATGAATTGAGTAAATTATATAATTTTATGATGATTCCCCATGAACCCATGTAATTTCCATGTTTTCCAAGTTATGATCATATGTGGGTTTTGGATTATGAATAAAGAGTTTATGAAATTAAGCATGTTCTTATGGGATTTATGTAAATGTTTTAAGGATACTTTGAGAGTGAAGTATCAATGATAGTGTTGTTGAAAGGATTTTCTCATATACACATGAAAGAATGATTGTGAAAGGTTTTCTCACATTATAAGGATTGTTAAGGTTGAAAGGTCTTCTCACCCAAAATGAACCAATGATTGAGAAAGTTATGTAAATAATGAGGCAAGAGAAGATTACCCATGCTCTCTAATTGAATGCCAAGAGGTGATTACCCATGTCATATGTGTTGACACCCAATTTTGGCCTAACATTTTTTCAAAATTCGTAAATTTTACGCTTTTTTCTAATTTTAAATAAGTTTATTGATATTTATGCTTCTTTGTCAAAATTTCAGGATTTTTGATCACTTAATTTTAATTAGATTTTTTTTTTTCACAGTCGGTTGAATACATTCAAATATTTGTTCATATTGATTAAATCATTACTTATGTTATATTGCATTTTTTACACGTCATTGGCTACGTCTATTACAGTTTTTAATATTCATTTTATTCATTACTTTTGTTAATATCAATTTTGGTGGATTTAGCACAATCTAGAAATACAGTTAAATACAGATAATAATTATATACACATATATTTTATTTAACCAACAATTTTGGGTCATAACCTCAAGCCCACAATTTGAGTCCATTGTATAATTATTTCCTATTTAAGTTTTGATTAGATCAAAAAATAAAGGCGGTGGTGGATAAGATTTTAGGGGTAATTTTCAAAAAAAAAATTAGTCTTCAAAATATTCTCTTTTACTATTCTTTATTTTTTTTCCGGCAAGTCACCGGAGTTCCGCCGGAATCCGGCGAGTCCACAACCCAAAACCCCCATTTTTTCGCTTCTCTTTCCTTCAGTATTCATCCTTAAAGAAAACACCACCAAAGAACCTCCAAAACCCGTCTTCTCTCTCCCAATGTCGTTTCCAGCAAGACAACAAACAAACAACCATTCAAATTCCCCATTTTTTCCAACCAAGTGAGTTCACCACCACTGATCTGATAAGTTCCGACCAGCAGCTCACACACAAGCACCAAAATCCACCTGTTCTTCCCTAAAATCGACACAAAACAACAACTAAACGACCCCACAAAACAACCAGTAACGACCCATTGTTCTCACCCATTTTTCTCCGACCAAACAACCCATCTTCTCTAGCCAAAATGCAAGCAAAACCTCCACAACAAACAACAAACCACCAGACCCAAAACCATCAAGAAAATAACCTCCAAATGACCAACAACAGCCACCAAACAACACAAGAAAATCATCTCCATTTCCTATTTTTCCGACCGCCACCCGTCCTCCTTTCTTTCGGCCACAACCTTTCCTGAAACAACCCCCAAATCACTGCCAAATGCAACCAGCAAACTGACCACCAAACGACCAGAAACAACCCATTTCCTCCCTTCATCTTCTCCATAACTGAAACAACCAAACAACCCTAAAACCTGCTTGAAACAGCCACCAAAAAGCTCCATTAAACCACCATTTTTCCTTACTAGACCACTACCCAAAACCCTTTTTGTTCTCCCATTTTTTCCGGCAAAACCACCGGATCCCAACCCTTTCCTCCTCCTCGTTCGCACCACCAGTTACTCTGACGAGGAGTTCAAATCACTGATGAGCCAGAGCAAAAATAAAGGCTTGTCAGTCCCCTTCCCCTTTTACATTTTTCTTCTGTTTTATAGGTGTTTGGCTCAAAATTGGTGAAATTCGGCGAAGCTCCAAGCTCCCAAGTGAATCGGAACAGCAGTCTCAAAACCACCAAGCTCCAGCGAGCAAAATACTTAACTAGAGAACCAACAACCATGAAAATTTTTGTTCTTACTTTACTTTCAATATTATTATTGTTGCAAAACCTA